AAACCCCCCCCCCCCCCCCCCCCCGCCCCCATAAATCCTCGTTATACGGTGACCAGGTTAACGGTACCAAGAGAAAATCTCAGCCATAGCCAAAAATCCAAGAGATAAACAATGGTCCAAACTATAATGATAAAGATTGTTAGTCAAGTAACACGTGTTAGATAGAGTATGGATCTGGATCTTAAAAGAGACCAGGATCATCATCCAGAATGATCGATTTCCCAGGAGTCAGTCTTGTTAGTCGAATGACTGGACACGCATAATACGTATTACGCATGTAAGTACATAAGGAGCAATCTTTGTCAGACTAAAACTTGATCCTGAGTGCAGACTAGGGCCGTGGGCTGATTAAAAGAACTTCAGGGCCGCCGCAACGTAGACGCACTCGAGCACCGCATCTACTGACTTCACGCGTAATGATGACAAATGACTGCGTAAATCACATGACAGCCCGAGCGACTCGCGTGGTCAACACAGAGCCACAGAGACACAGAGACACAGAGCTAGAATCAAGAATGATCTGAGAGAAGCCGCCCGCGCATAGTTACTTTCCATCCTGGGCACACTGTCTCTTCTCTTGGCTTGTGTCTCACGTGCATCCTGCGCCCCAGGATAACCTGGCAGACCTCCTTCTCCTTTAGTGGGAGACGCTGTGTATTGTGTACAGTGTATTTCTAAAGAAACAAAAATTCTATCTCACCAGCTTTCCTTACTGTACTACGGTTTCCTGGTACGGAGTATAGAGACGCTTCACGAGATGTGACGAAGAAGCATCCTCGTCCTCTGGTGGAAGGTTCCTGCCGGCATAGGCGTCGCCGACTATTGGATAGTCATCCTATGAAGATGTCACCGTTTGACAGGATAACAATGCCGTATAAATTACAAGAGCACGGAGTCGTGGACCCATGCCAGACGGATGCTGGTGTTCCTCTATCAGATCCCTAGATTGAATGTACTCGTTTGATTATTTCTCCCATGTGCTCTGGCCAAGGAATTCTGATAAAAGAGTCCAAAGGTTTAAGTTCAGGGGGAAGAATGAAAGCCTGGAAGCTTGCAGGATCAAAGGGAATCCTTAAAAATATTTCAAAGATTCTAACTAACTACTGTACCTGTCATGGGATTCTCAGTCGTCTGTCTTTCAAGAATTATAAGCAACGCTTGGCGTCTTATACCTAAAAGACTTTCCTTAGATACAAGACAGCCGTGGGTCGTGCCTGTACTCCAATAAGGCTTCTCGTCCTTCCGTCCCATTGCTGGATAAAAATAAAACGGACATTGCAATTAATTAACGCGTATTACATAAAGCGCCAATCTGCATAATTAACCGGCTGCCAGCTAGCAGTGCATTCATCATTTGGACGGAGTCACAGCGAGCGTCGAAAGGTATTTTAATTGCATCGATGTGATACTTATATGTATGTATGTATGTGTATTTATATATATATATATATTGTAACGTGGCGTCCGTGGGACGGCCAGTTACATAAAAGCGTAGGGGCACGGAGAGCCGTGTCGCCAACGAAAGCCGCCAAGAGAATGCCGATGCCGACGAGATCCGAGGATATTCGCATCACGGTAGTAAAATAAGATCTCGCTAATCCGAATAACCTTAAACATCAACTAGTAACAATTCTGAGGCATCACGACGCCCAATTGTTCCGCACCTCTCAGGCCCCCTGGCGCACTGGCCCACCGCTGACGGGTATAGAAACGGCGACGTTTCACGATTCGAGCATTCTAACACCTGACACCTAGCTAGCTTGCAAACCGTCCCACTTGAGCATCATTTCTAAAGGTGCTTCTATTCTTGTAATCGAGCAAACCGTCTCTTCTCCCGGATAGAATCAATTTCTGCATTTCAGTTGGGCCGTCACTTTGACAAGTTTGATCACTGTGCCGTTTCCGCTATACATGCCAACCTAACTTCATTTAAAGACCCGCACAACTGGCTGCTCTGCGAATGAGACTTTTCTCACTTCGCCGAGATAGCGACGTTGTTTTAGAAAGGACCACGTCTACCTGTGATCACGAGTTCCCTAGCCGAAGACTGCTCAACAGCACGACGCTTATATCTTAACGAGTCAACTCTGTAATCGAATTCCGCCCGTCGGAGGCTGCTTTCAGACACGATTCCATATTTTATTTATACAGTCACAACATTAGTCAAGATAGGATAACAAGAATAATAGAAGAACCTATTATTCCCGTTTCCGACAGACCTATCGTGTAGATAACCCGCGTCTAATCATCGTATCGATACAATTGACTTTCCGATCACTAATCTTCCGTGTATACCATTTATAATAACTGCTACTTTCCGCTTACGTTTATATCTATTCTTCGCTTACTAACATCCAGCATTCTCTAGGCTGGACCTGCACTAACCCTTTTTGTATTCCGTTCTAGGACAATATACTTTTCTTTTGTAACATGTAAAACAAAGTCTCACTTTCATTTGTTCCGCCTGATATCTTTCCTAAATTCCTAACAGTCGATTCTGGCACGATCCGGAGAACCGCTTCGTGCAAATAAGGTTACAGTATATACACACACATATATATATATATATATTAGGTACGGTATATTTTCTATGATTAACCTTCTCAGACATTACCATATTTTCTTATCTATTCCAGCAGCTTTGAAGTCCTGAGAATATTTTCCTCATTCAAACGCAAAGTACGACCGCTCTACTATAAGGCCTTTAATACTGCCACTTTCACGTTCTCCGATTCGAGCGAAATCCGTGTTTACGCGTCCGTTTGAACTCGTTGCAAATGCGACGCAGCAGTTACGTAACAGGCGAACCGTGCACTCCTCCATTCGACTGAACGGTGTGCCGTGTTGCATAAGAAAGGCTTGCAAATGTATCACGTACCAAAGCCGCGATTCCCATACACAGACGACGAACCGAGTTCCTACGAAGGAACGAATGAAAGTTCTACGTATACAGTAACAGTAAGAAAGCTCCTTGAGCAACGCTAATAAAAAGAAAAATACTTACCTGTCACATTGGCATTAATATAAAAATAACGGAACTGCCGAGAAAGACGCGTGCCTTTCGGTTTCAGGATTCTTGATGCAGAGATCGCGAGGTCAATGGCGCCAGCGTCGCCATCTTTCTTCTCAGACCCCTTCACTACCGACGTTCATCCGTTATTAATTACCATTGCTGGAGTTTAGCAGCTTCAACTGATTCTTCCGGAAGATCCCAGCTAGAGGACATAACGTAAGATTGCATAAGGAAACAAAATAAATATTAAATAAAATATTTAAAAATGACTTTTCTCAAAAACCCTTACGTCGAAGCTCGGGACTCGGCAATACAAAATGTCGGCTTATCTGTCCAGCTCACGTTCACCAAGCTATCCTCCTCTGGTAGAATACAAAATCATTGTATGTACAGGATAAAGTGAACGTTACAAGCTGCAACGTTATCCCTTCCACAATGCAGTTACCAGTTTCGTGTTATCGTAAATCGAGCGGGTGCCGCCCATCACGACAAACAGTTACGAACGGTGCTCCACTAACATTTAACTAGCAGGAGACTTCGTGACGGCCAACACGGAGCCATTACAATATATATATATATAAGAGACAGTTGGCAGTGCCGAATAAATAGTAAAACTGTTGACACCCTGAGGAAGCACGTCGAGAATCCCTCCGTGACTTTAGATACGAACGAAGGATGAAACGTGAGAAATACAACGCGAATTTTCCGGCTATCCGGCTCGGCTGTTATTCTGGCTAGAATGACGCCGTTACGACTCGGCATTCCAGCTGGATCTAAATGCTTCTGTCACGGCTCGCAATAACTCTAACGGCTGAAACACGGTGTTTCTGCTTCTGTGCGAAGACACGAGTCCCTTCGCTCGAATGATCTTGCGCGGATGACATTACTTTTTGGAAATCAAAACTGTAAAAGAAATTCTCTCTGTAATGCCGGTAATAATGATGAACGAGTATAGAATTCTATTATGACGGAGGAAGGATTTACTTAATGGATGCTGCTGGTGAACCGCCACACCCGCTATGAGAAAGGCTTGTCAGACTGTCGGACGGGCAGTTAGTCGTAAGGATATAACCTGGATGAAAGGACAGATCATTATGACAAGGAGCAGATTGCGTATTAGCTAAATGTCAGAACGTAGCTTACCAGGATGAAAGTTTAAGATTCTGTTGAAGCAACGTTAAAGCATTGTTACTCCAAGGATTTTCGTGACTTAGTCATTTAGAATCGATAAATATAACACACTAGCGGCATACAGTTGCAGCCTTAGATTATTGTCTTAAATTATAATGAAATTTTCTAACATAATATTTAGATCTTAATTCAATAACCTCACATACATATACGTGATCCTACGACCTAATAAACAGCTGCATATGGATACCATAAGGTCTGTATGCAATAAGTCTCATTCTCAGTACCACAATGACAAAATAAAAGCTGCACAAACAATGCACTCCAAATGCAATCAGATTTATACAATAGTGAATAATTTTTTTTTCTCAAAATACAGTAGCTTTGTTTCGATCGAATGCATATGTATAGGCGAATGCAATTAAATGAACCAGAACGTTTTAGCTAGATCTTTTTTTTTTTCAAGTATCTTGCATTGAAAGGAGCAAGCTTTGATTTTCTGTACTACCAAGTGGGCAAGGTCCGTGATAATTAACCCGCGCAACGTAAGACCGCATGAGTATGCAATATCAGAACTGCGGGACAAACGTGTCTGCAAAAATCGCGATGCCATTTGAGATAGGTGCTAGAAGATTCGCTACACCGTGCTGCTTCCAGCTTTATGGGCTGGCTGCCCTGGCATATTATGGCTGCAAAGAAGGTTTCAAAGTTGTAACATATATATATATACACTATACGTGTAAGCACATACGTTGAGTATATGGGAAACATACGTGGAGCATGCGTGGTCCGATCCAAGGACAGGTGAATCGAGGATGGAAGAATCGAGTGCGAAGAGGAACTAAAGGTCCGTTGCACACGGGGCATATATATGTATGTATGTATGTATGTATATATATACATATATATATATATATATATATATATATATATATATATATATATATATATATATATATATATATATATATATATATATATATATATATATATATATATATATATATATATATATATATATATATATATATATATATATATATATATATATATATATATATATATATATATATATATATATATATATATATATATATATATATATATATATATATATATTTCTCTGCATATAACTCCTTGACAGGAGTGTAGATATATGTATACTTGCATGTACATGGAAATCATCTGCAGGCGCTACATCCGTGCCAGACCGTCAAAATGGCAGACTGCAAAGGAGCCAGATGTTCCCTGTCAGGATTCACCTGGCATTTGCTAAAAAATAACAAAAAAGTTTAAAAGTACTTCTTTCTTGTATTTACGAGGTATCTCGATTGAAAGACTCCGTAGAGTCTAGAGTACAGATATAGTGGAGTCTAGATAGAAACTGAACTTGTTTGTCCTTTGTCGTTTCCAGAGTCCAGATGCCTTCTACCTCGTGGACTCGTAGCAGATGGTCAGTATGACTCGCCGGTATTGCTGCAGATGGTCCAGTCTGATGCTGGGATGTAATCTTGAATCTGGATTACTTCTGAGATTTACAGATACAAAGATTAGTCAGATTTTTGAGTTTAAGGATATGACTTCTGTATTGAATTATAGAAGAGCTTTGCCTTGAGCTCTTTTTAAAGAGTTGCTTACAATATAATGAAGAAAGTGTATTAATTGTGATAGCTAACAATGGGGGATTTTACTTGTTCGACATGCGCCACTAACCATGGGTCAGTAATGTCAGTATAATCAAGACGCCATAAACCTACTGTCTTACTGCTCGTCTCATCATTTTTATTGAAGACAGCATGACGACTGCTCATAAAATCACAGTTAGTACAATTTCTTCTTGTTTCCTGGTACTAATAAATAAAATGAAAAATTGTCTTCCTCGTTTTAATCGAGGATTACATAGAAAAATCCTACACAGTAAATCTTCCACGATCCCAGCTAGGGTCAAGATCAATCAACAGATTCGGTGGCAAGATTGATTCGCGTTATCGCGAAATCTCAAGGGTTATCGGTCATCAATGGGCCAAGTCAAGGGAACATTTATCAACCGCCATGATGCGAATGGTGTCAACTCAATTAACGCCATATCAGCAACAACAAATGGCATTGCCCGGGTGTGTGGATTCATTGAGAATGAAAGAGTATAAGATATGGGTAATAGGAGGTGAATAAGGGGTTACGTAGGTTACGGGGGGTTATGGTGGTTGCAAGCCTGATACACATTGCACACACGTGGTCAGCAAAGAGTCCAGTCTAAATATAGACTGCGTGCTAACTTTATCTTCATTGAGGCTCATGCCGGTTTAAACTTTGCACGGAACCCCATTTTTCCTCTTCCCTCTGGCCCTCGGCCCATGAGATTATTTGACTTAATGACGTTACGCTCCTTTCCATAGCGTTGCAATGAGTTATTAGGGAGTTATACCGTCCGTATCCTCCCGTCGTCCTAAGCTCATCTTCGTGGATTTAACGTTACTTTGCGCAAAGGATATTCAAATGGACAAAGAAATATATAGGTACTGCTGTGCATGTGTATTGGTATGAAATTTTGTACTCTTAGCACTGGTTCCAGTCACTTAAGTTAATAGAGAAAATTATGGGGATAGAGCAGGAAAATGTCGAGCGTAAAATGGAGAGCGCAGAATGCTCGCAAGTTAATTTGTATAACGGCTCAAAATAGATTCGTTATCGCGATAATTCATTGGACGGAATCGAGGGCGAGCCGTTGTACGTAATACGTATTGCCGAGGTGTTAAATCGCAAAACATATAATTTGTAACGAGTAAATGACGGCCAGGTAACGACTACTATTACCTCCTAGCATTAGACGGGTTCACCTTCGAAACTTAGCATACCCGGACGTTCCTGATTTCTAATTTAATTACCGGTGAAGTTTAACTATTTATTCGATAAGTCTTAATCCCTTCTGTACGTGAATCCTGTGTATACGAATTGCTGGAGAAACTTTAGTATCCATTTTCGAAGTGACGTCCGGCACGACTGGCACATCTGCCTTCGTGCCTTCGTATTATGGCAGAAGTGCACACTGGTGCTCAATAAAGCTATTTTAAGATCCATTCGATGTGGACTCTGTGTACCCCTTGTAACGCATGTGCTACGTGTACTTTAAGATGGCGAAGCCCCTGACCTTGTCGGTGATGGTGGCAACGCACCGACGGCGTCGAGACGCTTCCCTCCCTTCTAGCTGGTCCGGGTGATCCGACGCAAGGTCCGAAAGACGCTAAGTGACGCGTCGAGTGACGTTTCATTAACACTCACTCCTTATGGTTCTTTCTTTCAACTAGACACAGTAAATTCTGTCTAGCTTATACCAACTAGCACTGAACAGAGAGTAGTTGAAGAGTGCACGTGAAGTGTAGATATGGCGGACAGACAAGGCAAAGGATGCGCTCAATAGGCTTCAATAACGTCTACGTGCCAACGAACTTATCCAAGGCAGCTGATCCTTTCTCGCAGACAACCTTATGGGTTCTTTCAGATTTTTACCTGAAAAGAAAAAAGAAAAAATATCATAACCTATGAGCTTATAAATTAATACTACAAGCCGCTCTTATGCACGAGCTAGAATATCAATATGGCGACGATCATCACTCGTACGACGCCCAAGAGTCCTGCGAGAGCCTATTCTCTCGAACGAGTACATAAAAGGTGCCAGGTTGAAATGACAGGAGTTGGCTCAAAGTAAATCATAGTGAAGTTTTGTAAGAAGCAATGAAACCATACCTGAAGGAATGACGCGCGGAGGGAGACTATCGGGACGAGTCTATTAAATCTGCAACACGACGGAATACCTCCGTGGCTATTACCATTCCGCCTCGTAACTTATCTTCGCATGGACGGTAATTGCCGGCTTTACTCCTGGAATTGATGACGCTCGACGCCGGACACCTTCCCGTTAATTGCGGTAACGATTTATTCGTGAAATCCGGTAAGTTTATCGCGCCCTCTTCCGACACTTTCTTACGACACTATTTTTTATCCATAAAAAAAAAGCAACCGCAGCTTCTTTTCTTTCTATTTAATTACACAAGAGGTCCGGTCGTTAAAAATTCACTTAAAATTATTAACTATAATCCAACAGTCACTCTCGCAAGAATCAACGGACAAGGATCGAAAAATAAAGATGGAAAAAAATTTAGCTGTTCTCCATCACAGTTCTCTCTTCTTCAAGAACGACTCGTAAATCGTAATGACACGTCAAGATCAGTAGCCATCGAATCATCGAGTCAGGAGTCATCAGGCATTGTCCTGTGAGCAGTGAAGCGCGCAGACAGTTCTGCTTGTTCGATCAGCAGGTACGTTTCGATGGGGAATCTAAAGTCAATGTGTCTTACTTTTTTTTTAATAAATCATGACTCATGACTTTCATTATTACCCCTTATTACTCACTGCTCGTACACGTCTCTACTTATTTCTTTTTGCATTAACAAAAAAACACCAATCCACGTACCAACCAATTGTTACTGTTTCAACGACTTAAAAAAAAATGGTGTACTTCCTCGCAATACTCTCTCAACAAAAACTCTAATGTCTCTTTTATGGAAAATACGTAATGTACTGTATACCCTATGTATACGTAGATACTGACTTGGCTATATATCCAGTAAGAATTATCTCGGTAATATATCACACACTAGGTGAATCTCGGAAGAGAAAGTAGTCACGTATGACAGCGGACAAACAACGACGGTTAGAACGAGAAACATAGGTGAGGTGAACTTGTGCTCGGTGAACTGGATCGAGAGGGTAGAGAAAGTTGCCTAATGACATGGAATCGCATGGAATCGCATGGAATCGCATGGAATCGTATCGCACGAGAATCTCGTGAAATTCCTCGAGAATATTATAGAAATAGAAGGGGGGCAGGGGATCATTTTTAAAAATTACAATTGTTTTTTACGGGAAAATATTAAAAAATTCATTACGTTCCAATAATTACGTAACGCGCTGATTACGCGTATAAATAAAGGAATTAATGAATATCAGTACGTAAAACGCGAAATGATAGTTCCGACTGAATAACATTCCAATGAGCGAATAGCCCGATCAATAAACTTTCACCTGGAATGGCAGCTCCTGCCATTGGTGAACTTACGTCTCTTTAAAACACTCGGCTCTACTTACGTAATGAGAAACAAGCTTAAGCTAGGTCAGTGTCATCAAGTGTTACACCGACACAACAAAATATCCGTCATTCGACAACAAATGAAAAATCAACTTTCTCGTCGGATGACGCACTTACGTACCAGCGAAATTCACTTTCTTCTTATAACGAATGCCAAATACCGAATGATACACGCCATTGACCATTGTTCCGCCCATAAAGTTGCACCGTCATTCTTCGATGATAATCGTCATCTCCTTTCCTTCTCTTTCAATCAGTCAAAAGCATTTGTAAAAGTGTAAATGTATGGTCTGTAAAAGCAATAAACAATTCTCATATGAAATGCTTGTTAATGTTATTATTATAGTTTTAAAACATATACCCACCGAGCATTATCCAAGTTGATAATTTTTATCGAGCATCAAACGTTTTGGGAATTTCCAAAAGAAGCTGTCGAGCAATCGGGCTCTTATAAAAAATGATCGATCTTTCAAATTCACGTGGACTGTCCTAATCAAAAGGGCAAGATGAACGAAAAATCGAAATTGGCACCAATTTCGGAGTCCGATGCAGATACCGGAATATTTAATCTCAAGCAGTTAGAAAGAGAGGTGAATAAAAATAATAACCAAACAAAAGTTACAATTAACGTTACAGCGTCTTATGCAACGTGGTAATTATTTGATCGATAACACAGGCACTGGATTGTCTCGATACTTTTCCTGGCAAAGTCATCGAGCTTAATGATATCGTCGAGAAATGTACGCCCGAAGCCGTGAAAAGTTGTAGCAACCCGAACACAGAGTGCAAATCGTTAAACTCGAAATCCATCACGTCGACTATTAGAGATTTTGAAAATTTGACTAGTCTTGACTTGGACGGTAACACGTACTCCTTTTGTTCTATGTATAAAAGATTAATCACCGATCAATTAGATAGTTAAAATATTATTCTCCACAGTTACCAGTTATTATTCAATGTCGACTTGCGACCGTATGCGCATGCGCGGCCGTACTCGGCGTGGAATTTGCAAAAGGCGTTTTCGAAACTTCCACGGGCGAACTTTACGTAGACGACCTGGCCCTTTGGGACAGATATTAGGATTCCTGGCAAGTAAACTTTTCATATGCACCAGAACTATAGTATTGAAACCGTCTTGGTACATCGTTGAGAGATTATTGGATTTACTTTTGAAAAGGTAATGAAATTTTAATTGAAAAGTTCTTAACGATGATTATTTAGTCGTTCGATTCATCAGGCGTCAAGTTAAAAATGCGGAATGCGGCCCGTCGACGGACTGGTTTAGTTCCATGTCGGCTTACGTTACGGCCTTCGAAGAAGATAACACGACAGTTGGCAACATCATCAACATCATGAGACCCGCTGCTGTGCAGTTAATTGCAGACACAACGATTGTAAGTGGATTGCATTGGACGATTGAGCAGATTGATTATTTTCTTTTGGATCTTCGTTATCAAACAAAAACGTATATTTCTATGCAGCTCAAAAGATGGCTGCAAGCATTCTCCATAACCTCTAGTTCTCCCTTACCACCTTCCACGGAACTTGTCAACGCCACACGTATCACGGAAACCATAGACTGTTGGGCATACGAATTATTCTTTCACTTAAAATACCTCAGAGCGGATCACAGCAAATCAATGGATTCGCGAATTGATGTAAAAGTACGTCTCTTTGTCTCATATATTGCTTTAGACTCGTATAATTAAGTAGAGACTACGTGAATGCGTTTAACGACGGTCACTGCATTACAACTTTTCAAGGTAACTGATGATCCTGATAGCCCTGATGCACTCAAGATTAAAGAAAACGTCCTCAACTTAAATCTGTGGCATCGAATGGTTCAGCTTCGTGACAATTATATTATTCTCTACGAAACTCTTTACGGCAATAATAAGTTTAATTAATTAGCATCAATCAAATAGACGATTCATATATTTATATCCAGAGTAAAGGTAATGTTATTGCTCAATCAAGTCGTCCCGGAATAGCCATTTGACTGACAATGAATAATATCCAGCCGACCGTCCTTTCCTTCAGGAACAAATGCATTATGTCTTATTATCTACCTATTATCAGACTCTCTCACTTTATTTCAACTTCTCAAAGCATTTTCTCTCTCTCTCTCTCTCTCTCTCTCTCTCTCTCTCTCTCTCTCTCTCTCTCTCTCTCTCTCTCTCTCTCTCTCTCTCTCTCTCTCTCTCTCTCTCTCTCTCTCTCTCTCTCTCTCTCTCTCTCTCTCTCTCTCTCTCTCTCTCTCTCTCTCTCTCTCTCTCTCTCTCTCTTTCTCTCTCTCTCTCGTACTCATAATCAGACTTGCATGAAGTTGCTTCTACGACTCTCTGACTCTCTGACTCTCTGACTCTCGAATCTCGAATCTCGACACTGCGGCCATTTCGACATGATCGAGCTCACCCGGCACGCCATTGTTCCTAACATTTAGAAGTCGAGCTATGTACGAAAGGAACGTACAGCAGTTTGCAGCCTGAACGATATTACACCATTAAGCCTGCACCCACTATACTGAACCCTCTTTCCATTCCTCTCCTCGACCTCTTTAATCTGTATTACAAGACTATGAAAATATGCATACAGTAATCCTGCAAGGATATATTTGTCAAAGTCTAACCTCCAGGGACAGTCGTGAATTAAAGAGAGGTACTCGTCATACTTGAAAAATTTCTTCTTTCTTAATAATAAATTGGCAAGCAATTACTTTTCTTAGGACCTTATACACTCCCACGAGGATGCATTTTAACATTTCTTCGTTCTTTTAGCTCTTTTGATTCGAGGAGCGCCACGACGTACCTTCTGACATAACCTTAGGAAACCTTAACGAACAATACCATGGGAAAGTCAATGTTACCTTTGTACCAGCAACTGCAAGCCCACACACGTAGATCTTGCATTGAGTCATTATGTAGTATTACACGTGCGAACTATGTACCTCATGCAGGATTATTTCTATCTTAAATTTTGAATAATTATTAAGGTATAAATTAGTGAATTAATTTAACACTGAATTATTATAAACTTTTTTTAAATTTCTCCTCAGTTATTTTAAACCAAACTGTTCATGATGTTCCTGGAGTGATCCAATACTCACTGAAGTCAGGAATACGTGAGCGACATACACTTGCAGTTTCTATTTCACCATCGATGCCTTAAACCTTCAATCTTAAATAAATCGGCCGGTTTATCTAACAGGAGAGTCGACGTGCCAGCTACGGATTCAGGTTTTATCTAGATCTGGAGTCTGTCGCATTATCCAGGAAGTCGAGAGAGATTTCTGAGAGAGGAAGATACTTTATGGTTATTTATTACCAAGTTTCGCCATTTCTACTCCGAGATCATCGTGTCCTAGACTTAAATTATATTAACACACCTTTTTCGTCATTCTCTTATTTGTATCCATAATTTCAGGAAGTTTCGGATTTTTGTAACTTTGTATAAATTTTCATTTTTCTAGAGAATATCGAGATGGTTTTTTTTCGACTTCTGGTCACGTTTCGACCTTGAGAAACAGCGAGGTCGATTTTATTGCTAACGATAGTGAGATTCAAATTTTACAAGATACAGTTAATGACGGACAAGCGGACGAGCCATGCCTGACGAACAAAATTGTCGCCTGAAAAAAATCGTTTAAATGTAAAAAAAAAAAAAAAAGAATAGTAAATATTCTCAGTACGGCTATGCTCATTAACTTTCTTTTTCTTGCTATCATTAATTATACTTAAGCTTTTATAATCATCTCTCATTCTAACCATAATCAGCCTACCTAAGCCTCTAGCTTTGCTTAACCTCATTTCTTTGGAACAGATGATAATTCGAGTATCAGAATCACTCCTACTCCAGATTATACCATCTTAATCCTAAGAAAGTTCCAATTTTCATGCCTTAATTGCGAAACTACGAAACGACTGATTGTCAGTGTGGGATTAATCTTAATTCCATCAAACGTTCCGTTATACATTGTTACATACCAACCGTCATAGGATGAAATTTTACTTCTTCGATAATGTCAGATTAATAAGTCGTACCAAAAAAAGACCAGCGGAGAAACTGTATGAAATTTCTATAAAGAAATAACGGAGTATTGTCCGGATTTTCATTTTCACAAAATCTATTACAAAATATCATAATCCGTACTCTAGATTCTACGCCGGCACTTTCCACATGTATGTACCATTACAGATAACCACAATCTTATTTTCTTCCTTCTTATTTTCTCCTATATCGTTCGTTCGATTCTCCTTAACTCTAAGAAGTAATATTTTATAATCCAGGAAAACGCCTCAGACTCTCGAGTTTCAGCTGGTCCGTCTAACCGCATTCGCGTGTCTTCATTCTCGCCCACCTTAGCAATGCTGGTCAATGGGAACTCGAGGAATCAAATACTGAAGGACTCAGCTGAACA